TTTCAATGGATGATTGGGAAAGGTTCTCCGACTTTTTCTAGAGGGGTGTAATACTCGTATTATTACCCGCAACAACTGCTAAATGCTAGGGAATCGAAAAGGTCAGCATGGGTTCGTTCTTAATTCGTATGTTCAGAATGTTTTTTATTTGCTCTCAGAAGATCTGCGGTTACGAAAGCTTTCTAAAGTTGTATTATATTATTTATTTTGTTCGTCACTGCAAGAGTTGAAAAACCTGTCGCTTTGTTGCCTTGCATAAACTTGCGATACGTGGGATTATTTGTTTAATTTTCACAGTTGAACTACCTTATAAATGGGGTGCAATTATTACAGCACACGTGGAATTAAATGAAATCAACTGGCATATTAATTTAATGTAGAGATTGCAAGTTTATGCAACAATAAACTTTTTAGAAAGTTTTTATACAAATTAAATTATTTAGACAATTTTGGGATTAGGTTTTATTTATTTTATAATTTTAAATAACACTAAATAAATAAAAATTCTGAGGAAATTATAGATTCCTACTACATATCAACTACAAATATCTACCATATTGCGTATTTTGACATTGCTTTCATTTCGGCTGTCAGCAATGTCTAGAAAATCATTTTAAAAGCTATTTTTAAACGTAGGCGGTGGATACAATGTACACATGTTTTGAAATTACCAGCAGATTATTTTGTACATATGTATATTCCAAAAAAATTATAATTTTGTTCTATTTAGCAGGCAAAAGCACTGAACTTTGATATATAAAACACAGAATAGTTAAAACTTTCCCTAATTGCTCTATTTGGGGTTTTTTTTTTTGCAATGCCCTAGGGGATCAGATAAAATCATGGGCGGCTGCCTCAATAATTTGTGGTACACAGTATGAAATGTTGGACGAAAAAAATCAAAAACGAAAACAACTGTTGCGCTGGATAAACATGATAATGGCAGTATGCTAACACACGAACACCCGACTCGCTAAATAACTATTTTTTTTTTGGTCCGGAAAAACCCTGTCAACGGAATAATGCCACCAATTGTGGCAAGCCCCGAAATGACCGTTGGAAGTTTGCCTGGTTATTGACACATTTGCTTCTATTTCAAATATATTCTTTATTCTCCTCTCCATTTCGCTAGTTTTTCTGTTTTTTTTTTGTATGCACAGCACGATGTTTGGTGAAAGCCGAGCCCGAAAATGGAGGAGGAGTACGAGCCAGACAGAAAGTTCAGACCTACGGCACAGTGGGCCAGGTTCAAAGTTTGGCAAGTGAAAAAAAAGAATTCTTTATCAAAACATATATATTTTTTATCAGTATCTATTAAATGATTACTTTTCATTAAATTAATTAAACAAAACAAAAAACAAATTTTTTTCTTTAAATAAATAAAATTTTCCATGGAGTTTTATCTATTAATTTATTAATCAATTTTCTTAGGAAATGGAAATCAATATAATGCAAGTCAGTTGATAAGACAATTTCCGCAATTCCCCGTATTTATTTTAATTAATTTTAATTAATCGATAACAGGTTACCTTCAAACTCACAGAAAATTCACAAGATAAAATTGATTAGCCACTTTTCCGGGTCCAGCTCCACTGTACTCGACTGCTGCACTCAATGTAAACATGTACGCAATGACTAAATTAACAAAGAGACCTCACCCAAATGGGTCAACATTGTTCTAAGGCCCCTGCCCCCTTTTTTTTCGAACCGAAAGAACAGCAACTGGTGGCATGAATAGAAATGTTGGCAATTTCTATGCTTCGTTTCGTAGTCTCCATACACATTTTTGGTCAAGGACAGTTTGTATAGTACTTGGGTCTCTCTTATGGAAATGCTGGACACACCTAAAGGCCAACACCCAGATAAAGTCATATTTAAATGCTTAAATAAATATTATAAATCAGAGTAAACAGAATTTCTCTACAATAACATTTTAATTTCAGTTTCAGTTACAATAGCAGGGCTATCAATAAATCTCTGTTCGCAATCAAAAGTGGAATCGTTTAACCAGGCCAAAGCCACCGCAATTGCAATTGCAGCGCGAATTTAATGCTCAACTAGCCCTGAAAATTATATTGAAATTATAAATGTTTAATACGTACTTTGTACGACTGCACGACTATATGGTCAGTGAACAGATTGTCCCGTCCGCCCAGCCGATGATGGGTTTTTAATGCGTGTTTTAATGGTTCGTTGAGTGCCCGTCGAGAACTGTCAACCAAGCGTGCAGGTGCGAGTGAGACGAGGATGGACACCGAGCGGTACTCAAAACTGAGTAGCCATTCAAATTTCCATCAGCTTTTGTCCATTGCACACTTGCATGTCGCATGTCATCTGTTCATAATGCCATTACAGGAACCATCTGTCTTTTTGGCGTGAGGTTCTGTCGGCCGACGTCAAGTTTATTGATTCAATTTTAGCAGGTTAGGGGTTGAACTAATACAAAATTATTGGTTTGTACTCAAGGCCGCGGCTGTGGAACTTATATGCCTCAATCGTAATCTAATTCGAGGATTATTAATCGACTTTATTTCGGGTATAACAGTTTTTAAGGCTTTATAATTAACTGTTATACTGTTATAAAAAAAATTGCATCTTTACAACAGTTTTACAGTGAAATACAACAAATAAATTCCAATAAAATGTAAATCCTTAATCAAATCTTTCATAAAGGTTATAAAACAGTAATACTCTGATAATAAACGTTAACCAGAGTGACTTCTGCTGAAAACGTGCGTATTATCTGAATAAATGTTTTTGTGCCCTAAAAACAGCTGTTGTTTAATTGTCATTTAATTACAATGACTCTATTTAAAGGGCTCTTAAATGGTTTTAAAGACTTTAAAGTCATTTATTCAACTGTTACACAAATATCTCAGATCGTATCTTGGTGATTTCCTTAGCAAACAGCAAGTTACACTTCAATTCTCGCGTTGCGATACAGAAGAGAGATACAGAAAAACCCGAATCGAAGGTGAAATAAAAGCAAAAATCGGTCAGAGCTGAGGGATTAAATTTACCCTGAGGCAAGGCCAGCAGCCGAAATATTTCATTCGGAGATACCTTTTTATTTGTTCTCTCTAACGAGTTGAAAGCGAAACTGGAAATTAATGGCAGAGGTTCGTTCACCGATCGAATCTCAGAATATCCGATGCAATTCACTTTAATTGGAATTGAAGTTGACTAAAAGTAAAACCCACACTGGGAAAATAGGACAAGCTAAGTTGTCACGATTCAGCGATATTCTCAAGAATATTCAATTCAATTGATTTGCCTCTTGTTACTGGGCGCATATTCTTTTTTCCGCAAATTCCGAGAGCCATAAATTAGAACGAGAAATAATGTGGAACCCGAAGTCCGAAGCGAAAACAAAAGCGAAGGCGTCAGCGGCGTTGATGATGACGACGATCAGCGCTTGATTCTTCGTTCTTTTTAATTTTTAATTCAGCATGTTTTTTTTCAGCTCTTGAGATGCCAGTTTCGCTGCCCGCTGATTTTAATGATTAGTCCGGTGATTTTGTTTTCTATTTACCGCCTGAGGCCAGAAACAGAGATTCTGGGTCAGTGGAATCAAACAGAAACAAAAGCGAGGCAGAGCAAAAAATTAGACACGTAGGAAAGCATAAAAAATATACACAACTGAGACTTGCAAATTGGTTATGGAATTTATGAATGCGTTAGCGTTAAGTCGACGGGAAAAATGGGTTCTTTGTGGAGAAATTGGCTAAAAGGGGGTATATTAAACCTTAAAAAAAAACATTTAAAAAGTACTATAATATCTATGCATATAAAATTATAATCGTTAGGACTAGAAGGTTTCTAAATTGCAAAAAAATAATTTAAAAAACAAACAGATTTTAAAATAGAAAACTTTATAAATATGTATATAAAACTATGATCGTCAAGACTGGAAACTTTCTAAATTAAAAAAAAACAGATTTTAAACTAGAAAACTTTATAAATATGACAAAAAAAACTATGATCGTTTTCTTAAAATTTCTTTAAAATAAACCTCTTTTAAGTTATCATCTATGTAATACCTCCCGAACGTATAAACCCTGTTCTTAAAATCCCATCTTCGAGTTGGCGAACGTGAAAAACTTTCGGGGCGACATTCTTTGCATTGGACCGACGTCTCCATGAGCAATTAGTCGTCACTGATTGCCGCGGAAGTTGAGCAAGGGGACCAACATATATAGTCGGGGAATGGGACTACTGACAGCAGAGGAAACACAAATAGCGGAATGTTGATAATTGCCCACGTTGCCAAGTAGCAAAAAAAATACAAGAAAAATATACACAACCCAAGAAATAAAATAAATAAATGCCAAATTAGAGCAATAAAAAGAGGCGACGCGGAAAAAAAAAAACAAAACGAGTACGAATCGAGCTGAGTTGAGGAAGACAGAGCGATAACCCCCGAGAGTGAGTTGAATAAAAAGTATTGTCTTCCCAAGATTGCCACTCATAATCAGTTTGGGATTATGTCAATATAATATAATACTGTATTTAATAAAATTGCACCTGATAATCGTTTAAAAATTAAAAAAAAAAAAAGAAGTATTATATATGGAAATTATATCCTAAAAGATCCTAAATTATTTGATTTTTATATCCATAATGTATGATTTATATCAAGTCTTAACTTTGAAATTAAAATAAGATATATGATCATATAATCATATAAAGATTTTTACAGATCTCTAAAATGATTATCCCCCAATATTTTGCTTTCTATCTAATCTTAACTTTGAAATTAAAATAGGATATATGATTTTTTTACATATCTCAAAAATGATTATCCCCCAATATTTTGTTTACTATCTGATCTTAACTTTGAAATTAAAATAAGATATATTATCATAAATGATGATAACGATTTTTGTATAGATCTCTAAAATGATCATCCTCCATTATTATTTTTTCTACCAAAACATGTCAGATTGATATGAAAACCTCCCATTACATGTACTTGGAGTAGTTGAGTGCGAACCACTTACCTCTTTGACCTTCTGACGTCGCTCCTCCAGCGTGGCGTCCAGTGTGTCCGCCGCCTGATCATTTCCCCCGCCTCCCAAAGGCAGTTGCTGTTGGTTGCTCTGCTGGGCGGGACTTTGTGGATGGGAGGCGGATACCTGGCTGGCGGCAGTGTCGCCCTGAACTGGAGCGGCCAGAACGGGAATGGCGGCGTGCTGTTGACCCTCCTCGTCGGCCTCCTGCTGATCCGCTAGAGCGGCGACGGGAGCGGGAGCTTGTGCCTGTTGGGCGAGTGCCTGGAATTGTCCTGGCTGTTCCCCGCCTCCTCCTCCGCCGGCAGCCGCAGGTGGTTCATCCAGCATATCGCCCAATTCCGCACGGATCTTTTGCTCCAAACGCTGGCGATCGCCGATAAAGTGCGGATCCTCGCTGCGATGGGGGGCGTGGGCGGCGAGGGGCGGGGCCGGGATGAAGATCTCGGGACCGGCCTTCTGGAAGTGCTTGTAGACGCGCAGGACGCGGTCGCTGCCGAAGTTGTCCGGCAGCAGGAAGATGCCGCCGAAGCAGAGGAAGCACAGCGTTACCAGGACGAGTCCAATCAGACATTTCTCGCGCGAGTGGAAGTTCGATTTGCGTCCAATTGGACTGATGCGATACATGGTGGATTTTGGTTTTCTTATTTAGTTAGGCGTGTTATCCTGTTTGGCAGCTTGTTTTGGGGTTTTTTTTTTATTGTTTCACTGCAGTCTTCTCGGGCATTTAAGGTTTGTTTTTCTGTTTTCCAGGAGTCTTGATTTCTTATGCTTTATGCTGTTTATTTAATAGGGAAATTAACATTAGTTAGAAGGATTTTTATAGTCTTTTTAAGGATTTAAATGTTAATTATTTAAATTATTTTTTATTATTTAAGTTTGATTTGGGTTTGAGTATTTTCAGGGTAGTTTTTTTTAATAATTTATTTAACAGGATACACTCAGCTGTTTTATTTTTTGCCGGTTTTCTCTCTCTACTCTCTCCCTCGCTCTCTCCTTTGAGACTCGCTCTCACTCGATGACAGTGCAATTGTTATTGTTATTATTGGCTATTTTCGGTTGTTTTCACATACACATACACACACACACGGCTAAAAAAAGGAACACGAAATGAAAACGAAATGCAACAAAAAAAGCACAGGTAAAAAATGCCAACAAAAAACAAAGGTAATTGTAATTCGAGGCGATGTCGCTGCGTGGCAAAAGAAGAAGAGCGGCAGCACACACACACACTCAAACAACGTGGCAAACACACAGACACGCGTTTATGCGTAGCATTGCAAAAATCATGATTTCGCATTGCGATTTCTCATTTGTCATTTTAATTAACTACTCTAATTTGCACAAAATGCACTGAAATAAAAATCTCAAGTTGTTACTGATTTTGTATATCGCACATTTTACTTAAATAAGTGCAGATTTATTTTTTAGTGTGTTTGGCAGTAGAAGCAAAAATTTAATATTTTGATAACGATGTTATTTCTTTGGAAGGCTACTAATGCTGTAGCACATTTTTAATCCGAACTTAAAGTTTAATTTTATGTTTTGTGAATCACTGATTCAGATTCATTTTATTCTTTTTTTAAGCACTGTACTGTTTAGTGAATCACTAGGCATTCAAATTATGATGTTTAGCACTCTCTTGCAAGCCAGCACTGAAATTTATTCATAAGCACATTTTGACACTTAAATTCGCACTTTTTGCGGTGTATTTGCGTTTTTTATCTCGTTTGAGATCTAGAATAAATCACGATTTCGTGGCCATGCATAAACTGCAGGCGAGAAAGGGACGGGACGAGAGAGAGAGTTGGTGAGAGAGGGGGGCGGACAGGCAGAGGAACACGCAATATTTTGCAACAACAAAAAACGGGCTGACAACAATAACATTTATTACGGAATACCGTTAGCTGGCCAAACAACCGTACGATTGAAAAACACACAGACGCAAGCAACAACAAAAAAAAAAGAACGGTGGAGAAAAGAGAAGCACAGCTGATGGGAGAAAGGAGATGGGGAAAGCATAGCATAAAAGGGATGAATCTTTTGATTTTGATTTTGGATTTTTCTCCGCCTTGGCATTCTTCTCCTTTCTCCGCCCCCGCGCCGCTATCCATCTCGCTCGCACCCCAGCCGCTTCTTCCTGGTGTTTTTGTTGTTTCCCCCGCAGCAGGAGCTGCGTGTGCGAGCGAGAGGGGGGCTGCGACGAGGGGGTCCCGCCGCGATTCACCTGCCACTTTTTACTTTTCACACACAAACCGAACGATTCGATTCAATTGGCAGCCGAGCCGTCAAACCATCGAGGCCTTTTCGAGATTCGCGTTTAAATCTGACGGGCTTACGTTTTTTTAATAACAAGTTACTCGCCACTCCAGTGATGGTGAAACGGAACGGCTTCCCGATGACGCGCTATCGATATTTCTGGCCAGCACTACGGCAGCGTTGCCATCCTGATTTGTAATGAGTTATCGATAGTTTGGATACAACTAAAAATGTATCGAATGTTTTATTGAACTTCGAAGTTCAATGGTGACTATCGATGTTTCTGCATGTCAAATTTAAATATTAGGGTTATTAATTGATATTCTTAAGTAGATAAATTAAATTAAATGGTGAAACAAATTAAACGATAAAAAAACAAACAAAATTAATTAAAGCACCTTTTAAAAATACTTTGATTATTATACCACTAATTTAAATATTAGGGTTATTATTTGATATCCTTAAGTAAATTATTATTAAATCGAAAAAAAATCAAACAAAATTAACTAAAGCACTTTATAAAAATACTTTGGTATTATTATTTAGAGGAATACCCCTGACTGTTCCCAGCTGCCTATCGATAACCGCCGTTCGACTGCATTGTTTTTTGTTATATTTCACAATTCCCCGGATTTCCGCCAGAAATCCCCCGCAGAAAGGATGCCCAAGGAGAAGAGCAAGTCCCGCCATCGCAGCCGCAGCCGGGAAAGGCGGGATCACCGCAGTCCGGAGGCGAGGAGCAGCAGGAGCAGCGGGAACAGGGATCGCGATCGCAGGGACCACAAGGACAAGGATCGCCGCAGGGAAAAGGACAAGCAGGACAGCAAGCGGGAGCACAAGAGCAGGCGGCGCAGGTCCTCCAGCTCATCCTCCTCCTCTAACTCCTCCTCGAACGCAGCCCACCGCTCCCCACTGGCCAAGAGCTCGATGAAGCTGCTCCAAACTCTAGAAGCCCGCCGCCTCGTCGAGCAGAAGGACCGGCAGCGGCGAAAGGACGAGCTGAAGGCCCAGGAGACGCCCGAGGAGAAGCGCGCCCGCCGTTTGCGCGAGAAGCAGGCCAAGGAGCAGCGGCGTCGCGAGCGGATGGGCTGGGACAACGAGTACCAGACGTACTCCAATGAGGACAACCCCTTTGGCGACTCCAATTTGACCTCCACCTTCCACTGGGGCAAGAAGCTCGAGGTGGAGGGCCTCTCCAATCTGTCCAGCAAAACGGTGGAGGTGCTGTCGCTGCAGAAGCAGCTGGAGAATCGCCGCGAGCTGGAGAAGGTGAAGAAGCGTCGCCAGGAACGCGAACTGGAACGGCAGGTGCGCGAGGATGACCTGATGATGCAGCAGCGCGCCAAGGAGGCCGTGCAGTTCCGCGAATGGCAGCGCCAGGAGGATCAGTTCCACCTGGAACAGGCTCGTCTGCGCAGCGAGATTCGCATTCGCGATGGCCGCGCCAAACCCATCGATCTGTTGGCTCAATATGTAGCCGCCGGGAATGCGCCGCTCGAGGAATCCCTCGAGATGCAGATGCATGAACCCTATGTCCTGCTCAATGGCCTGCCCATGGAGGAGCTGGAGGATCTGCTGGTGGACATCAAGGTCTACGAGGAGCTGGAGCAGGGCAAGCACATTGATTTCTGGAACGACATGATCACCATTGTGCAGGACGAACTGCAGCGCCAGCAGAAGCTGCAGGCGGAAACGCAGTCGCTCAACCAGCGACGCGATGGCATCCACCAGGCGGTGGTCAAGGATGTGGCCGACATCTTCAGGGGCAAGAATGCCCAGCAGCTGGAGGAGATGCGCCAGCGCATCGAGGCCAAAATCAGCGGAAGAGCCGATGGCGTGGACATCAGCTACTGGGAGAGCCTTCTCTCGCAGCTGAAGGCGCACATGGCCCGCGCTCGACTGCGCGATCGCCATCAGTCGCTGTTGCGCGAGAAGCTGCTGCTGCTGAAGCGCGAGAACGAGGATGAGACGACGCAGGAGGAGGTGCCGCCGCCGGTTAAGGAGGAGGAGCAGCAGATGGACACCCAATCGGAGGTAGAGGAAGCTCCCTCCGAAGAGGACGACCCGCTGAAGGAGCTACGCGACGCAGTGCGCCTCTACCAGGCGGGCAACTACAGTCCGCGCTACATACGCGAGGAGGAGTTCACCGGGCGGCGCGTGCAGAACGAGGAGGACGACGAGCCGGAGGCGGAGGGCGCTCTCTACGAGGAGGAGGACGACGAGAGGCGAACCCAAAGACAGCGCCTGCTAATCTTGCACCCCGAACGCGTGGACACCAACCATTTGACGCCGCAGGAGCTGCGCATGCGCAACGAGGCGCGGCAGGGAATGCAGGGCGACGAGGCCGAGTTCAGTGTGGAGACCACGCTGGATGCAGTGCCTCAGCTGGCCACGGATAAGTACCGACCGAGGAAGCCGCGCTACTTCAATCGCGTGCACACCGGATTCGAGTGGAACAAGTACAATCAGACGCACTACGACATGGACAATCCGCCACCGAAAATCGTGCAGGGCTACAAGTTCAACATCTTCTATCCGGATTTGATGGACAAGTCGCAGACGCCGCAGTACTTCCTCACGCCCTGCGCGGATAATGGTGACTTTGCCGTGCTGCGCTTCCACACCGGGCCGCCGTACGAGGACATCGCCTTCAAGATCGTCAACCGCGAGTGGGAGTTCAGCTACAAGCGCGGCTTCCGCTGCCAGTTCCACAACAACATCTTTCAGCTCTGGTTCCACTTCAAGCGATATCGCTACAGGCGTTGAGGCGATTGTATATTATCGCAATGGAACCTCATCATTTTTTTGTAGCCCTTATTTTAATGTCCCAAATAAAATGTAAGAACATAATTCTTTGGAAGAGGTATTGCTCATTTAATATGGTTTTTTAAGGCTCTCTGTTTAGAAGTTATATTAATTATTATCAAGAAAGAACCTCCTCTTTTTTTTGTACCCCGAAATAAAATGTAAAAACAGAAATCGTTGGAATATTTAATAGGATTTTTAAAGGCTCTTTGTCTAGAATTTCCATTAAATATATTATCTAGAAACAACCTTCATTTTTTTTTAGCCCTTATTTTAATGTCCCAAATAAAATGTAAGAACAGAAATTGTAGAAAGAGGTATTGCTCATTTAATAGGATTTTTAAAAGCTCTTTGTTTAGAAGTTCCATTAAATATATTATCAAGAAAGTAAAGAGCTATGAATTTATGTACTTTGAAATACTTGTTTAGGAATAGTTCTTTAAATATCCTTTATTAAGTGTGAGTTATAACAAAAAACCTCATAAACCTGATCAAATATTTTCAAGAAAGTAAAAAGCTACGAATTAATGTACTTTTTAAATATTATTTTAGGAAAAGTTCTTAAAATAGCCCATATCAAGTGTTATTTGTATCGAAAAACCTTATATAGTATTACCAAGAGAGCAAAGAAGAACTGAACAATTTGTTTAGGAATAGTTTCTAAAATATCCTTTATTTACATTCGAAAAACCTCTTATCACACGGATTTTCCCCTTAAATTTAACACATTCCAATAGACTAAGTTTGTAAACGGGCTAATTAACCATCACATCACACTGCAGTCCTTGATGGGCTGCTCCAGGACCTTCTCGACGGGCTCTCCGCGCTCCGCCCTGTGGACCTGGGCCAGGACACTGGCGTGCTGGGGAAAGGCCAGGCAGGAGAGCTTCGAGTGCACCAGCTGGCCGTCGATGGCCACCTCGAAGGATCCGCGGCGTCCTTGGCGGCAGGATACGTCCAAGTCGGGCGACGAGGCCAGCAGGAAGTCGCGCAGCAGGTGGCACTGTCCGCTGAAGTTGCAGATGCCGCTGCAGGATGATTTACTACTGTTATTTAACTGGATTTTGGCAGTTGGAAGGGAGATTCCTTACCAGTATTCCACCTCCACTTTCACCATACTTTCACCATTACATAAAAGTAATCAAAACAGAAATAAAAGTAGCGCTTCAGCAACAGCTGTCGCTAAATAATCGCTATCGTCTATCGTTGCACTTAAAAAAATATATTTAAATTAAAAAAAATTTTATTTTTAAACTAATTAGTTTATGTGGATTTATTTAGTTAATTTTTGTTCCTTATGCTTCCTTATGGGCAAGTTTTTTGACCGTAACAATGGAAGTACTGATCCAAATATGGATTGTCATACCTTTTTGAACTCGTTGTTAAATTTCCAATCGATTGACATTTAAACCTGGACATTTTATTTTTTTGCCATTTTTCGTAAAAAATCATGATGTACCCCCTTAAAAAAAAATTGAAAATTGGCGAAAATTTTATTTTTTTAAGATCACCCGGACAGTATCAAGGATTTATTTATTATTTTGTTATCTGTTCAAAACAGTGTTTATTTTTAGTGTAAGACCATTTTTGGGCAAGTTACAGGAAAAAAACGACAACTTATCTAGGTTTTCTGATGCTATTCTGGCATTAAACGTACACGAATGATTTTGATCCTTAACATTAACCCTTGTTAGCTTTGGCTCTGAGCAACGTTTTGCAGGCGGCTGTGTGGGTTTTCAGAGGGAGTTCATCTGGAAATGATGAAGTATTAACGAAAGGAAATTAAAACTATAAATTATTTACAACATACATATCTTGTGATCGCCTTGAACGGGCAGTAGAATATTCAACTGCTCCGGCTTGGTGCAGACAAACACATAAGGACTCTCCGACTCGCCGTTGGGAAAGGCCTCGCGGTACTCCTCCTGCGGCAGGCAACTGTCCACGTGAACGCAGCCCAGCAGACTGCTGGTGGGATAATGGCTGGGGAACTTGATATCGGGATCTAGGGAGCACAAATTACAAGTTATTTTTGAGATTTTTTCGTTTTTATTATGCCAAACTTACCGCCGTAAAGCACCTTGTAGAAGCCCTCCATTTGGGCAATGTCCTCGCTGTGCGGTTCCTTGGAGGTGGAGGCTATCCAAAGTCGGCCACGGTGTTCACTGTACCACACTCGTCCCTCGTGCCTATGAGAAAAGTATTATAGGGTATAGGAAATTCAGGAAAATAGCAACCCACTTTTTAATGCCCGCCACTAGAAGCGAAGCCCATGGCTGGTGCATCGACAGGCACTGGCGCATGTCCTGCATCTCCAGCAGCTCCTTGTCCTGCACCCGATTGTAGATCCGCTCCAGACCATCGCTGGCCGCCGCCGGGGCGGGCCAACTCTTGGACTCCTTGCTCTGCCTGTAGACCGGCGGCTTGGCCATGTCCAAATTGGGCGCCAGCGAGAGCGCCGAGTGGCCGGTGATTGAGTTGGCACTCCAGTTGGAGGCGCCGCCCGAGGCTTTGGTGACCGCCGCCAGTTCGCTGATCACCTGCTGCTCGTACTCCTTGGAAATGGTCGGCTCCTCGGGCAGCTCGCGGCCAGCAAAGTCCACGCGAATCTTGCGCTTCAACCGACTGCCGTGCTTCATGTCCTGCATCTCGCTCTTCAGCTTCTCGAACTTCTCGCGCTCCGCGTCGCTCAGCCAAACGGAGTTCTCCTGGAAAAGGCAAATAATACAATTAATAGATGATCTTACAAAGCTAAGATGCATGGTTCGGAAAATAACACACACTGTAAAAAACTTGTGTTATTTACATGTTAAAAAAGTTATTAACTTGTGTGTAAAAAATTGTATCCTACATATGAATGCTAGAAACATAATTAACACACACATGTCATTTGTGTTATTTACACGACATGTTTTTTTACACAGCGTGTTTTTAACACGATCAGTTTTTGACATTAAAAAATTGAAAATATTCACGGTTATCCAGAGTATAAGAATTTATAAATGCTTTGAAATGGTTAAAACAGATATCGTGCCCCATATTAGTTTTTCATTTTTACTTCGACTCGTTAATGTCAGTAAAATGTAATTTTCATTTGTGTTAAAAACACAGTGTGTAAAAAACACGTCATGTTAAAAACACAAGTGAGTTGTGTGTGCTAACAATTATTTTTCACATTTTAACCCCTTTGTATTTGACACAGATGTCAACAATTTTGCTCACACTGTAAAATACAATTTTTCATGTTTCTAACATGAACCCTGCTATGAAGCCTGTACCCACCTGGAAGTAGTCCAGTTCATCATCGATCACCGTGGTCCGCTTCTCGCTGTTCTTGTCGTACTCCAGCAGGCGATCCCTTTGGGCCAACGCCTTGTCCAGCGCCTCCTTGGCGGACTCCTTGCTGGCCTTTTTGCCCTGTTTAGTGGCCGCCTTTGAGCTACCGCCTCCCTTCTCCCTGGCCGCCTTGGCCAGCTGCTGCTCCTCCTCGGCCGTGTGGACGGGATCGCCGCAGCAGAGGCAGGGACCACTGCCCTCCTGTTCGCAGACGATGCGCCCGCAGCCGAGGCAGTTGTTGATCAGCTTGTGCTGGGCCGCCTGGCAGTCGCAGTGCCGCCGGCCCTTCAGCAAGATGGTGTCGCCCTGGACGCGGCCATCGCTGGCATACAGATTCACATACTTTCCGGCCTTTCCCTTGGCTCCCTGGCCGGGATTCTGATGGATCTGACCAGTGGCCGCCAGTTGCTTGGTGGGCGTGCGACTCTTCGCGTTGTTCCGCGGCTGCTTGCCACTCAGCAGCATCCGGCGGCAGTTCAGCAGGAACAGGCGATGCTCCTCGTTGTCCTCGCTCAGCAGATTCCCAAAGTAACTATCAAATTCGTAGTCATCCTTGATGCTCAGGATGGCGCTGGAGGAGATTGACCCGGTTAGAAAGGCATTTATCTGGGAATATCCGGTACCTACGACATCATCTGATCCGTGACCACGCAGTCCAGACACTTGGACAACGTGTCCCGCACGAATTTCTCCATTTTGCACTCAATTAGTGGGTTAACTTTTTGGAATTGTGAAATTACAAGGGAATAACTTTAAAATCCAACGCAAACTGTTATCGGCCACAATCGATATCGATAAAAGAAACAGCTGTGAACATATGATTGAAAAAAACAGGTTGCTAGCAAGGTGACTAGTAAATACCCTATGATATTTACAAATATATTTAAAATCTTTGAAAAAATCAATAAATTTGTATGGTGAATTTTAAATACCGTATTGTATTTAAAAATATATTTCAAATTTCAATTTAAGACATTTGTAGTACTTACATTTAGCACAAGTTGTTTAAAATTAAGTAAAAAAAACCTACAAATATATACATAAAATATGCTTAATAATATTGAAAATTTAAAAAACCTCTTCTGTATAAAGACATCCAAGTCAAATGGAAATCCAGAATTACTCAAATAAATTTTAGATACAAAATAGTTGATTCCATAAAATAATAACATTTTTAACTTTTTTACAAATACTATTTAATGAAAAAAAAAAAAAACAACAAAAACACACAGAAAAAAATTAAACCAAAACACATGTGAAATAATACTCAATGGAACATCTGTAGTCAACCAACCGAAACTGATAGCTAATGTCTACAGTCATTTGTTTTTTCCTTGGAAAGAGTATGGCGCAACAAATGCGGCGATTAATGGCTGGCCGGTGGCAAATAAATAAAGCCCGATTCCCCAGCAACTCCAACAGTTCCCAACATGTCGCTATATCGCCCGGAATTCTCCACATCGGAGCAGTTGAGAATCGACGCGGAATTCTCTAGATTGGCCAGTAAGTGGAATATCATGGTGAAATACCCATAGGCAGATAACGAAACTAACCAACTATCGCACAGAGAACAAGAGTGTTTACCTGGATCATGCGGGCACCACTCTATATGCCGAGAACCAGGTGAAAGCCGCCGCGGAGCAACTGCAGCGGAATGTCATCTGCAATCCGCACACCTGCCGCCTCACCGGCGACTTCGTGGACCAGGTGCGCTTCAAGTGAGTTCAACCGTGTCCAGAAATCATGGAACAATACCATATATTTAGTGATATTCCGTCATTGGGTTTCCCTTGCGGGGGTCTTATAGGAGATATGGCATGTGGTTCAAGGGAAATCCTTATATTATAAACAAAAGAACCATTATCATAACAACATTCTAAATAAATATGTTGTTTATAGAATTTAAAACTTTTATAACTTAAATTTCTTGTAATTAGAAGTTATTTTCTGTATAATTATTCATACGTTTTGTCCCTTAAACTGATCTAAAATGTAGTATTCAGTATCATAAAAACCTTCTATAAAAATATATTATTTATTACCTTTAAAAATCTTAACTTAAATATCAAAAAAATAATAAACAATCTGGTTTAAAGATCGCAGAAAAAAAAACATCTAGCAAAAAAAAATAAGAAACAAACGAATCATTATCATAAAAACATTCTATAGAAATATGTTGTTTATAGACTTTAGAAGTGTTATAACTCAAATTTCGTATAATTAGAACTGTTTTTCTGTAAAACTATCCGCACTTTTTAAAACAAACATGAATGCTGATCTAATATTTAGTATTCAGTATCATAAAAACATTCCATAAAAATATATTCTTTATTACCTTTAAAACTCTCTTAACTTAAATATTAAAAAAATTCATACTTTTTTTCCCTTAACTTCTACAGAATATAATAAACAATCTGGTTTAAAGATCACCGAAAAAAAACATATAGCGAAAACCAGTTTTCTGTTCTATTTATAAAATTAATTAATTTTTTTCATGTCAAAGCAATGCTTAATAAGCTTATGTATATATTCAGTCTAGTCTACAAGGAATTATTTGAAACTTTGTAATTATGATGATATTAAAAGATCCCAAACAATTTAGTTATTTCTTTATACCATGATATTCCAGGACCGTTGTCTTTTATCTCATTTATAAATATATGATTTTCTTAACTTATGAGATTTAATAAATACTAATCTTTTCAGGGTTCTGGAATTCTTCAACACCACCGCCGAGGATTACCATGTGATCTTCACGGCGAATGCGACAGCTGCTCTGTCCTTGGTGGCGGATAACTTTGACTTTGGATCCTCGGGAGACTTTCACTTCTGCCAGGAGAATCACACCTCAGTGCTGGGGATGCGCGAAAGGGTCCGGGCCAATGGTATATACATGCTGAAGGAGGCGGAAATCTCTGCGGGATTGGCCAACGGAAAGGGGAAAGTGCTTCAGGAGGAATCCTCGAGAAGAACGGGCAACTCGCTGGTGACCTTTTCCGCCCAATGCAACTTCAGTGGCTACAAAATCCCACTGGAAGCCATAGGAAGGATCCAAACGGATGGTCTGCCGCAGGCGGGCAAACGAATTTGGGGTTCTGGGGATGAGAAGAAGGATACTACGCACAACGACTACTATGTGTGTCTGGATGCCGCCTGCTTTGTGGCCACCAGTCCCTTGGATCTGCACAAATACCAACCGGACTATGTTTGTCTGAGTTTCTACAAGATCTTTGGCTATCCCACGGGTGTGGGAGCCCTCCTCGTGAGTCGTCGCGGAGCGGAGGCCTTCGGAAAGCGTCGCTTCTTTGGCGGCGGCACCATCAACTATGCCTATCCGCATGCCATGGACCACCAGCTGCGGGAGTCCTTTCAGCAGCGCTACGAGGACGGCACCCTGCCCTTTCTGTCCATTGTCGCCCTGCTCGAGGGATTCCGCACGCTGGAGAGACTGGTGCCCAAGGCGGAGGGACTGGGCACCATGGAGAGGATCTCCAGGTGGGTAACTAGGAGTACAGAGTATAGAATGGGTTCAATGAATTATTTTGAATTTTTTGTTTTGCTTGAATGAATTAATTAGAATTATGATATTAATTGAATGAATTTTGAGTTTTAAGTTTAATAGAATTGAATGAATGAATGAATTATTTTAAATTTTTTGTTTTGTATGAATGAATTAATTAGAATTTTGAGTTTAATAGAATTGAATGAATTTAAATTTTGAGTTTAATAGAATTAAATGAATGAATGGCATGAATTCCGAAATAATTCAAACGAAAATTTCTTTAGAAAAAGAAATGGCCATCATTTTGTGATTAAATCTGCCTGTTCCTCTACCTTTCCCGAGATATACTAATTTAAAGTTTGAAAACACTAAATTGACACCACAAAATTTCAAAAAAATCACAGATGATAACCAAGGCAAACTCTTCGAGGTACCCGAGCTTGAAGAAAATCTAATATTTCATATGCGCAGTTGAGAAATTCTTACCCTATATACATTATATTATATCATTTATACAGAAAATCCCTCTTTTTAGGCACGTTTTTGGCCTGGCCCAGTATTTGGAGGAGCAGCTGACTGAGCTCGAGCATCCCAATGGCGAGAAACTTATCCAGCTGTACAACAAGGTGGGCTACCGGGACAAGAGCCGCCAGGGCGGCATCGTGGCCTTCAATGTGCGCACCGAAACGGGATCCTTTGTGGGCTTTGGCGAGATCGCCTGCGTGGCCGCTTTGCATGGAATCCTCCTGCGAACCGGCTGCTTTTGCAACATTGGAGCCTGCCAATATTACCTCGGTCTCGATGAGCAGGCCATGGATGCGATTTACAAGCGAGCCGGTCGCATCTGCGGCGATTACTTTGACCTCATCGACGGACAGCCGACGGGAGCGGTGCGCGTGTCCTTCGGCTACATGACCACCCGGCAGGATGTGGATGAGCTGCTCAAGATGCTGCGCTCCAGTTATTTGGCCACCAAGCCGCAGCAACGCATTCGGTTCATCGAGGAGCAGGCGGAGCAACTGCCGCCGGTGCTGAAGAAGCGCGCCGAGCAGCTGAGGCCGAAACTCCTGCAGTTGGCCGTATTTCCAGTGAAGTCCTGTGCTGCTTTTAAAGTGGAATCTCTGGGCTCGTGGCCGCTGACGGATCAGGGTCTTAAATACGATCGGGAGTGGATGATAGTGGACATGAATGGCATGGCTTTGACCCAGAAGCGATGTACGGAACTGTGCCTGATTAGGCCATCGATTCGTTTGGACATTGGCCAGTTGGAGCTGCAGTTTGGAGAGGATGGGGCCACCATATCAGTGCCCCTTTCGCTGGAGGATCAGGCGGCAGACTCGGCGAAATGCGTCAGCAAGGTTTGCCGTCAGCCGGTGGAGGGTTTGGATTGCGGCGACCAGGTGGCCCAGTGGCTGTGCCAAAATCTCGGCCTCGAAGGCCTTCGTTTGCTGCGGCAGTCGGGCCAGCGTAACGCCTCCAAGGATCAGCAGACGAAGCAGAAGCTGAGTCTGGTCAATCAGGCGCAGTTCCTGCTGCTGAACAAGTCATCGGTGCGATCCCTCCAGTTCGAGGAGCCCTTGGACGAGACTGTGGATCGTTTTCGGGCCAATATCATCATCGATACGGGCTGTGCCTTCGAGGAGCTCGCCTACAAGGGCCTCACCATCGGCGGCATCCGTTTCCAGGTGGAGGGTCCCTGCCAGCGCTGCGATATGATATGCATTAATCAGAGGACCGGCGAACGATCGCCGGAAACGCTGACCACCATATCGCGCCTGCAACAGGGTCGCATGCGTTTCGGCATCTATATCACCAGGATCCCCGACGACCTGGAGGATTCGGAGGCCAAGGAGCAGCACATGACCTGCGGTGATACTGTACTGGTGGAATAAGCCGTTTCCCCTTGCTTTTCGTAATTTTTCTTGCCAAAAATTTGGTTAGTCTACCATTTATGTTTTTTTAAATAACTAGATTTTTTAAAATTTCTGAATTTCCTATTATCCTTACGATATATCTGTAATATCATAAACCTCCCATTTAATAATATTCCATGGCTTCGTTATTTTCTCAAGAATACGCAAACATTCACGCTTAGTCTAAGCTCAAAGTAACTAGATACCTCTTGCCAGTGTCTTAAGCCTTTGAAAGGCGTTAATTGCTAAATAAACACAATTAAATAACTTTGTATATACTAGAGTTTTTGGGGAGGGAAATGGGATTTCACTTTGAATCGAGCGCCTAATGTTCATCACAGGGTTGCCAACGAAACATGAGAAGCGCATGTAAACTACAGCTGCTAAAAACTTATTATAATTCAATTTACAATTTTTAAAGACATAAAAAGTTAAACAAATTTTAAAAAATTAAAATATTCAGTGACCTACTCCTGGTCGTTTCAAAATTTTTAAGTATTTTTATAAGCTAAATAAAATATTGAAATGTGTATTCTCAAAAAAAGTCCTTTTAAAAAGTCCTGGCAACCCTACCCTGGGAATGTCCGGCTATCGATAGATTGACAATCGCGCTGTTGCGTCGATTGACGGCCATAGCAGAGTCCAATCGCGAGCAGAGCGGAAAAGCTGCTTTGTGGCGGAAAAACAATAAGAAGTATAATCAAAAATAAACAAAGAGGGGAAGGAACAATAAGATATACAACATAGTAGTAACTAAAAGGAGCAGCACGCATACATACACAGCAAATTTAAGAATTTTTTTAGCTTTGCGGCAAATTCGCGGCGAAAAAACATAAGTATGCAGCAAAAATGTGAATAACTACTACCAAAAGGAAACGACAGCAACAACAAAGCAGCAGCATCATCACACACACACACTCTGTTGTTGTTATATAAGTGTGTGTGTGCGCGTGCGGGTGTGTGTGCGTGCGTAGTAGTAAAAATGTAGCAAAACAACAACTACGACTCGAAGAAAACCAACCGAAAATATGAGACAACGAATCTAAGAAAATTTTTGATACCACGATTTTTGTTAACAAAAAAAAAAGGAGACGAAACAAAGCAGCTGGCAAAGGCAGAGAGAGAAGCAATTTGCCCAAAGAAATATACCACAAAAAGAAACAAGAGCGAGCGAGCGAAAGAGAGGGCGGCCATCATCCACCAATACAAATGAACATGCTACACAGTTTCAGCGGCGGCAGCGCTGCCAGCGCCGCAGGCGACGCCAGCAGCGGTGAGTGAGAAACAGTTATTGTCTTTACACGGAGAGAAAATGAGTTTGATTTAGGGATAAGCTTAATACGCAGTGAAAAATGTCTTATTCGCATCCGTTTACGGTATTTATTTATGGTTTTTTCAGGGATTCAAAAATATAAATTTAAAAATTACTAGATACAAAATACTTGAATATCAATTAAATGCTGAGATTCTGTTTTTTTCTGTGCACATTTTGGCAACAACACAGTGGCAAATTCCAATTACATATCATGCATACACACAAATACATACAAATGCCGAAATGCCAGGACTTTTGTCAGTGTGTCTGTGTGCTTTGTTGTTGTTCTCAGCGTTGATGCGTAGAAGGTGCGAAAGTGAAATGATTTGGCGTCGTTTCTGCAAGAAAAGAAAGGAAAAAAGAAAGGAAAAAGAAAAGAAAAATATACGAGTACAGTGGGCACACATTCAAATGAATTTATAAAATTAATAATATTAAAATCAATTTTAAAAATTAATAATAAAGAAAGTTCATATTTTATTTGAATATATTTTCCAAAATAAGCTAAAATTAAACATATTTCATATGATCCAATTATTTAATCTTCCAAGATTAACTTCACTGTATATTGAAACTTTAGGCAAGCGAAACTTTTTGTAATTGCTTCAATGAACTCGATGGGGTGGTGATATAGGGAGTATCCAGAATATGGGTAAACTTTCGAAAAGACATACACATGTCGAACTTTTTGAATAATACTTTGCGATTGAGTTAACTTCGATATGCCATTGAAGTTTGTCGTGAGTTCCAATCGGAATTATTTTCTTTATTTATTAATAGCGCTCTCCGTTAAATCAAAATGTTGGCCATAAAGTCGAACGCTGTGCAGCTGTTTTTAATTGACTTATGTCCAATTAATGTCCCCCTTTGCATTGCCATCAAAGGAAAGCCTGCGTTTGTCATTTTCCCCCGGTAATTACTTTCTGCATTTTTTATATGCCATTATAAATTGCGGATATTGAGAAAATCTCCGGCGGTTTATTAATTAAACGGGCAAAAAGCAACAGCAGATTGCACTCAGGTTCAGGATCTCAGGTAAAGCTTCCCTAATTGGAATCGATTGAGTGACATTTCTACCAAGCCGCACTGCCATCATCAGCGACCATCAACCACTGCCAATTAAGTGGTATTACCCTGACCATGCGAAATGCAAAGTTCACGGCCAATAGGTCAAATTGGCATTAATCTGCTGTTTGTCTTCGCCTTCCTTTGCCTTTGCCCTTGCCATTATCCTTACCTTCTTGCCCAGCTAATTGGCCACATATAGCGTGTACATGTCGTATATATATCGTATATATATCGTATATAGGGCCGGACGGAACCGGTAATTGCATTACGTCGTTCGATGCGATTACGCTCGGTTAGTTCTAGCAGCCACGCCCCCTCTTACAGGCTGCCCTCTCATTTGAAAGTCATCAAATTGCCCGGCAATTAATGTAATCAGAGAAGCGCGCACAATGTCCGGGTTTCTTTTCTCACGTTTACCATTCAGTGCTGCTCAGAAAATCCCCTCCTCTTGCACACACACTGTTCAAAAATGCATTACCTAAGTCGATTATAATTGTTTGAGAAATATTGCACATTCGATGGGATATTAAGATAAAGCTGCAGGCATTCCCAAACGAATTATTAAGAGCTTCACATCATTTTCTAATTATCTAAATAGGTCTTTAAAAATCGATAAAGAGCTGAGTGCATTAATAATGTATTTTAGAAAATTACTTTTAGAAAATATTTTCTATATTCTATATTTCTATATTTAAACAATTTTTTTGAAAAGCCTTTGTTATAATATTTATAACATTATTAAAAAGTGAAAAATCAAAGCATACTTTTATGGGCTACGTAAGACAACCATGCGTATGAGTAATAATTTATCACGTATACGCACTGTTGCATAGGTTAAAAGTACTTTCAGCTTGTAAATATGAACAGATCTCTAAAAAATAATATTTATTGGTTGTATTGGTCTAAAATGTATCATTAATATTAAATATTTAGTTATAAATGAATGTTTATCATTTTAAAGTAATTTTTTTTGTACAATTGATTAGTTTTACTATTTGAATTGTCAAAGTCCCTAAGAAATCCCCTTGCAATCCCCTTATTAAATCCCCGTTTTAGTTGTTTGTTTTTTCCCCCTGTGCACACACACACATGCTGGCAAACGTGTGTGTTGCGTCTTTTGTTGGGTAACGGTAACAAACATATGTTTGAGCAATATGGCTGCCCTGGCATGGGATTTAATGATGTGTGCGTGTGTGTGTGTGTGAGGGACCCTCCCATGTCGTCGTTTTTGTTATTGTGTTACTGGCAAATTAAAGAGGAAGCACACGTATACTCACACACGCTCAATTGCCATCCCTCTCGAAAAATGGAGAACAGAGAGAGAGAGCGACAGTGAGAGGGAGTGAGAGCGAAAGCGAGGTATCGCCTTTCAGCGTCTCATTTGCCATCTCTCTCTGCCCTTCGTCCTGTCATCAGCTGTTTTATGTTGTTCAGGGTCAAGTGTGTGCGTGTGCCTGTCCATGTGCTTAAGCGTGTATTTGTATTCGTAGCGTCGCAGGTGTTGGCCTCTCCCTCTCTCTCTCCCTCTCTTGCGTCTCGCTCTGTTGTTGTAGGTTAGAATTCAAGGAAGTTTTTTAGCATCAAGTCAAGGTTACTACACACACACACAGCTGCGCCGTGCACTCTGCACCTACGCACACAGACGAACACAGACGCACACACACACGCGCACAGAGCCCTGTTTATCGCAATGTTTCACTCAAATTGCAGCGGGAATTGAAAATAAACAACTTAGTGCATGTGTCGATGTGCCCGAATGCACTTCGCATTTTCCTGCCGCCTTCTCGCGTTTTCCCAATGTGGTTTCTACAGGCAAAGTGCGGTATGTTGAATTGTTTCAAGATTTTTTTTTAAATTATAACTACAATTTTTATAAAATATTAGAACTATTTTTTTTAGGTGTGCATTCAATTTTGTATCTAAAATATTTATAATATATTTTTTAGTTAAAACACTTTTATGAGTAATCAAAAAGTGATACTTATTTTAACCAAATATTTTGACGGCTCGTTAAACAAAACAAAATGTTTTTAAAATAATCTAAATCCTATTTAAGATGTGCGACATATTTAATGTATCTACTGTTATATCTCATACTAAAAAATATTTTTTTTAAATTCATAAAATTTCAAGATTTTTTTTTTTAAATTGGAGGAACATTTTTATTTACTTTGGTAAAGTATAATTTCTGTGCGGGACTCGTTTTATTGTTTACTGAGGCTGCACAGTTGCCGCATTTCACTGTTTACAAAACTGTTGCAATTTCTTGAAAAGTTTCCCTTATCGATTTTGGTCCTGCTCGCCCCCCCAAGTTCCGGCTCTCAAGTCCTGGGTCCTGAGTCCTGAGTCCTGGGTCCTGGACATTGCCGGGCCATGTCACGTAGCGGCGTAAATCCTTTATTTCCATTCTAATTAGAAGCGCACCCAGCCCTTCGTCTTCCACTCCCTCCCTCCCTCTCTCTTTCCCTCTGCTTTTCCTTCTTGGGCTTCCCCACTTCGTGGTCGTTTTATCCTATTAGCATATTTGTATATGGAACAATGCCGGGACATTTACATACGTGCACAGTAAGTGCTAGAGTTCTGGATCTTAAAAAAGAAAGTCCAACAAAGTTTTAGATTTAAGATTTTTTAAATTTTTAAGGGGATTTTCATTGAGTAGGATTTTCATTATTTAACCTAAAAAGTATTTTAATTTGGATTATTTCAATAAAAATAATTTTATTTATTAATAAAATACCATTTTCTTTTCCAAAAAATATTGCAAATATATTATATTTAAATTTGGTAAATATCAAACGATATCTTGATGAAAAAACCCCATTTATTACGCATACGCACTGTGCTCGTCCATACATTTATGTACTAATAAATGTTGGTATATGGGGGCAGTGAAGCATAGGGACGATTTTGTGCACAGAAGCAAACGAAACAAAAATTGACAGCGATGACAAAATGATTGACGTCGGTCGGTGGACTCCGAAAGCAAACGCAATCCCAGACGAGTTGGGGACAGGACATTGGGTACTAATGCTAAGGACTCGGGATTGGAAAGGTTCTGTTCTGTTCGGTTCGGTTCGGTTCCAAGGGGTGGCCCTCCATGGCATGTGCAATCAATCAAAGCATATTTATCGGGGCTCCGTTACGAGTGCTCTCTGTGGGGAAATACAAAATGGGCGTGGAAGTGTCATGTCGGTCGTTAGGAGAGGTCCAGGGATTATCAATAACCGCACGAAGGCAAATAACTTCCAAGCCACTTCCAATTACGTGGACAAGATGGACTTTCTTGACTTGACTTTGTTTTATACTGGCGGAAAAAAAGAAAGTTTTATCCTGTTGTCCCAGAAGTTTCTACAAATTGTTGCTAGTGGAATTCCGTTCTTAATAATTTATAGGAAGACTATATTTGTTAGGAATTAATTGTAAACATTGAAAAAGATAGTTTTATATGCTTATAATATACTATTTCATTATCTCAAAATAAATCCATTAATTTCATATTAAATTTGGATTTATAGGGAGTAAAACCAGATATGATCTTGAGGTATCTAAACATTATCGTATGTTATAATAATTAGAGAAATATAAAAAATAAATAAATAGATAGATAGATATAAAAATAATGGTTTCTTGTCATTTATTATTCTAAATACTATTCTTAAATCTTCCTGAAATGATATATGGTTCTCCCAAGTTTTATTCTGTTGTCCCAGAAGTTTCTACAAAACACCAATAAACTTTATACGAAGAATACTTGTTATGAATAGATTTTAAATATTGAAAAAGAGAATTTTATATGTTTATATAGATATTTTTGATTCCTGAAATGATATATGGTTTTTCTCATTTTCCCACTTTCAGCGGAGACCGAACTGAAGGAGCGGCTGATAGCCAGCGTGAAGAAGGAGGTGAAGCAGCTGATGGAGGAGGCGGTGACCAAGAAGTACGTCCACGAGGAGAGCAGCTCGGTGACCTCGCTGTGCGGCGCAGTGGAGGCCTGTCTAAGTCACGGGCTGCGCCGTAGGGCTCTCGGGCTGTTCAAGACCTCCTCGACGACGGCGCTCATCCAGAAGATAGCCAAGATCTGCCCGGAGGCGGACTACGTCAGTCGGCGGCTCCTGGAACTGGAACTGGCCCAGGAATCGCATGCGGTGAGCGGCAAGCGCTCCTCCTCCAGCAGCGACAGCATCATCAAGCCGAAGCTCCTCAGCAAGGGCAGCGGGAGCAGCAACTCGGTGACCACCATCAACACGGTGGTCTCCAATGGCGCCTCCTCTGGAAGTGGCACTTCGATAGCCCCGCTGGGCAAGTACCTGTGGATACGACTGGCCCTGCACGAGAAGCGGCTGGCCAAGATCATCGAGCATTTGGTCAGCAATGCCAGCAGCTACTATGATCGCGAGGCGCTGGTCGCCGATCCGGACTACGGCTCCATCCTCAGCTCCCTGCTGGTGGGTCCCTGTGCCCTCGAGTTCACCCGGGCCAAGACTGCCGACCACTACTGGTCCGATCCCTGTGCCGATGAGCTGGTAAGTACCGAGAAGAAGATGGCATCTGCTCTTAACCGACAAAACAGGCAGTTTTCAAACCGAATATTTTTAATTATTTATTTAAATACATTTTAATTTTTCAAATTTTTATTTTTTTATTTATTGTTTATATAAAGCAAACTAAATTCACTTATGCAGAATTCAACTACAAATTTGCAATATATTTTGGTTTTTTTAATATTTCACAATTGTTTTTTATTCATTTAGTCTGTTAAATCTATAAAAAGTAATTAATTCTATTTAAATTTTCCCCCAAACAAAAAACACGCAATTTTTAAACCAAATATTTATAATTACTTATTTTAATAAAATACAATAAATAAATTTTTAATTTTTATATTTATTTGTTTATAAGTATAAACCAAACTAATATCCCTTATAAATAATTCAACTACAAATTTGCAATACATTTTTTGGTTTTTTAATATTTTACAACTTTTCTTTATTTATAGACTAATGTATAAAATCTGTTTAAAATAAGTAATTTTTAATTTTAGGTATGTATAAAAAAATCCTCTTAAAATCTTTGGACTTTCGTGTAGATTTTCATAGCAATAGATAAACAATTATAAAAAACCCCTTCTATTGGAAGCCCTTCTTCTAGAACCCCTGCTTTTGCCACCCCTTCTTCTAGCACCCCGTCTTCTAGTACTTCCTAGAAATCCCCCATTTTATATACCTTCCCGTTTATCCACCAGGTGCAGCGGCACAGAATCAGCTCGGGCAACCGGACGCCGCCCACCACCCACCGGCCCATCATCAACTTCAAGCGCAGCCTGCACACGAGCTCGGAGGACACGAGCAGCGGCTCCTTCAAGGCCTGCTCGCCGGCGAGCGTGGCCAAGGACTACGTGGAGTCGCTGCACCAGAACTCCCGCACCACGCTGCTCTACGGCAAGAACAACGTGCTGGTGCTGCCCAAGGACGTCTCGGAGCCGATGCCCGGCTATTTGAGCCTCCACCAGAGCATCCAGTCGCTGACGATCAAGTGGACGCCCAATCAGCTGATGAACGGCTACAACGACGGCGATGGCGGCGACAAGAGCTTCTACTGGAGCTACGCTTTGAATATCAACGTGGACGAAATCGTCTATGTGCACTGCCATCAGAATCGCGGCGGCGACACTGGCGGCACCATTATCCTAGTGGGCCAGGATGGCGTCCAGCGGCCTCCCATTCATTTCCCCGAGGGCGGACACCTGCAGGCGTTCCTGAGCTGCCTGGAAACGGGTCTCCTGCCGCACGGCATGCTGGATCCACCGCTGTGGTCGCAGCGCGGCATTGGGAAGCTGTTCCCCTGGCCGAAGAGCGTGAGGCGACACCTGCTGCCGTCGGTCAGCGAGGCAGGAGCTCCGGCAATGTCAGCCTCCGTCGACGAGACGCCCATCGACTATGTGTTCCGGGTGGTCAGCAAGTGCCAGCACGAGGAGTTCTGTGAGTTCAGAAGCCAGGATGATGGTGATTCTAGGGAATTAATTACACGATTTACTCTATATTTCAGTGGCCAGCCATCCCATTCTGGAGCTGGGACGCTCGAGTCCGCGGAGAAAGCATTTGGGCAGCTGCTCCACCACCGGCAGCAGCGACTGCTCCAGCAAGAGCCTCTCCATCGACCAGAGCAGCTGCGAGACGCCGCTCATCCAGGCCAGCCAGAGCACCAGCATCGAGCTGGTCTGCTCCACGATGCGCCGCCAGATCATCTCGCGGGCCTTCTACGGCTGGCTGGCCTACTGCCGCCACCTCTCCACGGTGCGCACCCACCTGTCCGGACTGGTCAACGCTCGCATCATGCCCGATCGTGAGTTCAAGTGCCGTCTTTAGTCCTGAGAATATCTATAATGTATAGGAAGAAAAATACCATAAATACGAAATAGCTTAATTGTGGGTCTCATTATATATTTATTTATTTAATTATTTATAACAAAACTAACTTAAAGTTACAACTATAAGCTAACTAAATTAATAGATCTAGCAGTGTCGAATTAGTTACATTTTAATTATATATTTATATTTTAATAGAACCCATATAGTATGTTCTTAGGAAAATACGTTTCATTATGAGATCTTCTTAAAGAAGAGGTAATGAAAATTCCTTGGGATCTTCTTATATGTAATATCTCAAGGATTCCAGACATTACAATTTGTTTTTTAATATTTGTTAAATAATTTAAAATCCATATAAAATTATAAAAGTTAGATTACATCTTTTATTTTATTTTTTAAAATATTTTTATGATTTTTTAAAGGATTTTCTAATACTAAAATGTAAAAAAAGTGAACATTTAATAATGGCAATTCAGTAAACTTTTTTTTTGTGAACTTCCTAAATGATTTAATTAAAAATATTTCAATATTGGTTAGTTCACTTATAATGCATAGGAATTAAACAAATTAATAGTAAATAAGGGATTTAGATTACCTCTTTTATATTTCTTATCCATTTCATATATTTTATATTTTAAAATTCAAACTAATACTATTTTTCCCCCCCAGTGCCCGAGGAGGAGGGGCCTCTGAGCCGCGAGAAGTGGCTGGAGATGCAGGAGGACGGCGTGGTCACCGGCGAAATGGAGCTCCACCGGCTGGTCTACTTCCGTGGCGTGGAGCCCGAGCTGCGCAAGGAGGTGTGGCCCTACCTGCTGGGCCACTACGCCTTCGGCTCCACGCCGGAGGAGCGGAGGAAGCAGGACGAGACCTGCAAGCACTACTACGAGACGACGATGAGCGAGTGGCTGGCGGTGGAGGCCATTGTGCGTCAGCGGGAGAAGGAGAAGACGGCGCTGGCCGTGGCCAAGTTGAGTGCCGAACAGGCCCGCTTGGCGGCCAATGCCACCGGCAGCTCCTCCTGCTCGAATTCCCACCAGAATCAAATCCTCACCAACGGCAGTCGGCAATTGGAATTGGAGCAGCAGAATGGCGGCGAGGAGGAACAGCTAATCCTGGACGAGGGCGAGAACGATGTGTTCGATGACAATGACTTTTCGGATATATCCGATCCGGGAGATCTGTTCGATGAGCCCGAATTGGGTCAGGAAGCTGAGGAGGAGCAGGAGCAGGAGCAGGAGCAAAATAATCCCGAGGAGGAAGAGGAGGAGGCAAAGCAAGAGGATCGCGAGATTCCCCGTCTCAGCGAGCAACTGGTGCTGGAGTTTCAGAACATGGAAGACAACCTGGAGCCACTGCGTCTGCAGGAGAACTGTTTCGCCGACTCCGAGAACGAAAACGATCTGGGTTTGGGTCTGGACGGCAGCGGGAACATCCTGATGCTGAGCATCAAGAGTTCCCCCTCGACGAGCAGCTACGAGACGGTGGGCAATGAGTTCGTGGACATGGTGGAGGCCAAGCTGGACGAGGAGGAGGAGGAGGCACCTCCAGGAGAGCTGAGCAAGTTCCACAGTGCCGACGACGTGCGGCTGGATAACCAGGAGCAGGAGCAGCCGGCCACAGCGGTAATCATCACAGAGGCAGCCTCGCTGGACGCCCTCGACGACGATCCCACCGAGGAGTTCACCTCGCGCAAGACCAGCCTGATGTCGCCCCTCAACGAGGACATCACGGTGGTGGCCTCCCTGGACGCCCTGCAGGAGCCCAAGTCCGCCTGCGTCTCGCCGGCCAGCTCCAATGGCGGCGTCTACAGCGTGGAACTCCTCGAGCAGTTTGGCCTGAATCTGCATCGGATCGAGAAGGATGTGCAGCGGTGCGACAGGAACTACTGGTACTTCGCCAACGAGAACCTGGACAAGCTGCGCAACGTGATCTCCACGTACGTGTGGGAGCACCTGGACGTGGGCTACATGCAGGGCATGTGCGACCTGGTGGCGCCCCTCCTGGTCATCTTCGACGACGAGTCGCTCAGCTACAGCTGCTTCTGCAAGCTTATGGAGCGCATGATCGAGAACTTCCCCAGCGGCGGGGCCATGGACATGCACTTTGCCAACATGAGGTGACAAAATATCTATAAATATTTATTATATTATTATTTTTATTAATTTGTGTGCTCGATAGATCCCTCATCCAAATCCTCGACTCGGAGATGTACGAACTGATGGACTCGAATGGCGACTACACGCACTTCTACTTCTGCTACCGGTGGTTCCTGCTCGACTTCAAGAGGGAGTTAATCTACGATGATGTATTCGCAGTTTGGGAGGTCATCTGGGCGGCGAAGCACGTGGCCTCGAGTCACTTTGTCCTGTTTTTGGCCCTGGCCCTGCTGGAAACCTATCGCGACATCATCCTCTCAAACAGCATGGACTTTACCGATGTCATCAAGTTCTTCAATGGTCAGTTTTTATAACACAAAGAAGAATCGACGTGTGCCCAATGTAAGATAATTGTACTAAAATCTTTGTTAATTATTTTTCCAGAAATGGCCGAACGCCACAATGCCCCTTCGATTCTACAGCTGTCCAGGAATCTGGTCCTCCAGCTGCAGACCATCATCGAGAACAAGTAGACATCAAGAGAAGAGCCATCCATCAGTCATCCATCGTCAGTTCCTGGAGACCTCAGTTCCCGATCAGTATTGAGCATACGATGTACTAAGTAGCTAGCACCTAGAGCATAGAACCGTAGAATCGGAGTTAGAAAGCGCTTGGGGATATATAACCGAAAGGCAGATAGCATATAGCATATACCCTATACCATATACCATATATATCCCGTATAACATATAACATACCTGCACCCTAGAGATTGCAATTAGCTGAGGTTTTTTGGGAGGAGGCTTCCCGTAATCCGCAATGGTTTTTTTTTTTGGAAACGGCTGGGAATCGCTTAAAGAAATTTAACAAAATTAAGAAAATTGTAGTGACCTGAAAAACAAAGAAAAAAAAAAGAAAACGAAGAGAGAAAATCAAGTGGAAATCGAACAACGTAAAAGATTAACTATTTATACTTATACAATATACATGCATATACCGATTATACTATATATACAGGCAGTTGCATATTTATACGTTTTGTATATTCGAGAGACCCGGGGGGTGGATCACGTACATATATGGATATTGTATTAGATATCGTCTATATATGGCAATGCTGTGCGGCTGCGACTGCGGCCAACTGTTGTTAATGTTATGTTATCGATTTGGCCAGTTATCACATATATATTATATACATATTGAAAGAATTTCGGGGGGAAGAGGCGTGGAAAGCTCTAAAATTCAGTAAAATTGTGGTTCAATTATAAGAACTTAAGAACTGTTTAAAGATTTCAAAAGATTACAACTTTAGGAGATTTAAAATCAGTTTTCAGGGAATTTCAAATCCATAGTGATATAATATCTCCGATTTCCGATAGGAAAGTACATTTTTAAAATATGAGAAGTTTTTCAAGGCCCAACCCTGAATCGAATTGCAATTGTTCGCTTGGTCTGCTTGTGTTTTCTCCCATTTTTCCTTTGTAGCTGCAAGCGTTGAGAAAACATTTTGTACTCGAGTTGCCCGACAGGTGGATCCTGGGGTTATATCTCTGTAGGTAAATCGAACAATTGCCGAGACACACACACACGAATCGAATCGAATCGAATCCCAATAAACCCACAAAAATACATATGTTACGAAATTATTGTTGACGGCTGCGAAACGTTGAGTTTGTTTGTATTAGCAGAATTAATATGCAACCCAATATATATATATGGATATATATATTACAAACTAATATTTATACAAATATTAACCCAAAGCATAGATATAGAGAAAAAACGGAATGTGTTAGCCGTGTATTGTTATAATCGAACCCGATTCGTTGCTATTCTCAGGCAAACTACATACATAGTTTCTATCCGGTTTTTCGTTGTTTTTTGGTAAGTGCAGGCGCACCAAAAATCCCTCCACTGGGCTTATATACAACTTATATTATATAGAACTATATAGAGCAAACACTTTGTGTGGAATCTAAGTTAATGCGAGCAGCACGCTTTTTGTGTATGGAAAAAAAAACGTCGAAAAGGAAAAACCAAAAAAATACTTAATGTGATTTCTTGTTGCTTCTTTGAATATTGATATTTTTGTAAGCGCTAAAAACGTATACATATATATATATATACACATAACGAAAGAGAAGGAGATGGCAGATGGCAACAGAAAGAGACGCCTAGCGCGGAGGAGAAAGAGAGGGGAGATATATTTTACACTTGGCTGGGGAAAACAAAATAGGCGGGGGATAGCGAAAGTCAGTCGAGTCCAACCAAAATTTTGGCCACACTTTTGATACACATATTCGACAGAAGATCAACTGATCCACCACGAGAAAAAATAAGAAAAACGAATTAAAAACCCGAAGAGCAAGGCAGGAACTCTCGCTATATTATATTGTATCGTAATCAAGCTAAGCTACCATATATATATATATATATACCTATATATATATGTATTTATACCCGTCTGTGTAGAGACGCCACCTATAGAGCCCCCGAGCATATAGAATATTACGTTACCCACGATTGTAACCACAACATATAGCATACGCATGAATATTACGAATATCCTATGTTTCAAGCGAAGGAAACCACATGAAAGCCCAAAAAACAAAGAACCGATCAATGTATAATTTACCGAAACAATGTCGATGAAAACAAAATAAAAGGAATTATGTAAAATGTTTACAAGAAAGCAATTGGCATATTTTTTTAGGTTTTAAGGTTTATATTTTGATTAAATTTATTTTAACAGTATGATTGAAATGTGGAGAAAAGTCTTGGGATATTTACTGCAAGTACAAGCCATTATAAAGGTGTCTAAAAGTATGCAGTAAAAAAATAACGACGCATTTAAAAGTGAATTTCATAGGACTTTTTAATTTTAAACAACAGCGTGGCATACTTATAAGTAGATATAAAAAACTTAATCATCATAACGTAAATATAAAATAATATAAAGGTGTCCAACAGTATGCAAGATAAAAAAAGAATGTCATTTTGTGTAGCAGACTCTGCAAAAAATTTCCAAACCGCAATCATTTCTGTGGCAACCTTGATTTACTAATTCTCTAGATTCCCTGCCTTTTGATGTTAAATATTATTCTGAGGTTATTTGGAAGTGGGCGAAAATGCAGCATTCCATTTGCCTGGCAAATCCCCCCTGGAATGCAGCTCCCTTATCCGGCGTCCTGTTGCTTTTATTACGAAAATATTTCTGCTGCACAGCATGAAGCTAGTGCCCCCGCAAAAAAGAGAAAATATGCTGCGCCAGGATTCCAGCTTAGCCAACACTGAAATTCGCTTTGCCTGCACCTGAGACCATAATTGAGGAATATTTCGGTACACACGAATCCGCAGTGAGCAGGTTATGTTAAGCACTCTAATGGCTCCAGAGGGTAGCGGGGGATGGCAGGGGATGGTTCAGGGTGGCTTAGGGTGGTCTAGGGTGGTGCTGGGTGGAAGGTTGCGGGTTACATGGCCAGGGCGCAAACTCAATGCGAAGCAACAGCGGGCCACGAATTACACCGAAATGTTTTCATCCAAATTTGGGGCAGACTTGTGTGCATAGATGGGGGCTTTCCTTTATGGAGGGGGGTGCCCGAAAATTTGTTGGAAGGAAGGGGGGCGGGATGTGCGGCGCTCAGCAGGGCATTTTGGCATGCTGGCTGGATATTGCGACTTCGACGTCAGCAAACCGCCAGCTCTCATACTCACAAAGGCATACAGCAGAGGTCATAACAATAGCGAGACAAGAAAATTCCATCGTTCCAAAATAATCTTTCAAAAAAGATTAATTCCAGTATTTCGTTAACCTTTAAGTCTTTTCCTAGAGATTTTAATAAATGGGGGTAAACTAAGATTGATTACTTCAATTTGATTTCTGTTACACTTTCGGAAATTTTAAGTAGTTAATGTGTATTAAAAATAGGAAAAATTTAAAAAAATTAACAAAAAAAAACAAATGAGATGTAAATATGTTTTATAATTTTTGTAGAACTAACAATACCCATTTAAAGTTTTGTATAATAACTATTTAAAATTCAAAAAATTATCTCAATTTTGACCTCTACTGTTCTCCTGTGTGAGTATGTGTGTGACGCCTCCAAGTGTGAGCGAGACGGGTGGAGTGCGAAAAGCTCCCAAAACCGAAATGTAACGGGAAAAGGTGCGACGGAGAGAGGGAGAGTTGTGCAAAGGGTGCGGGGATATAAGCTTCGTTGTGTTACTGTTGATGTTGCTGTTGTACATGTTGCTGCTGTATGCGTTGCTGCTGTTGTTGCTGCTGTTGAGGCCACTGTTACATCAGTGTTGCCAGGATTTTGGCGCAAAATCAACTATTTTTTTTCAGCGGGAAATGTAAAAAATCGGAAATCCTTCAGAAAATGCAAGTATTAATATTCCACACCTTTTTTTTATTATTTACTAAATATTATAATCAAACGAAAAGGTAATTTGGTTTAGAGTGTTTTAAAATTTAGTTTTATATTTGCATTTTAAGATTCATTTACTAAGGCAAATGATAAAACAGTTTTTACTAAAATAAAAATAATGGAGTTATTTTTAAGGCAAAAGTGATGTGATTTTATACAGAATTTATTTACAGCATATATTTTTGAAATAAATATTTTTATTATTTTTTTTCTAGCTTCCTTTAAGCCGTCCTGTTGTAATTGTTGCTCCTGCTGTCTGCACTGATGTTGCTCGCGTTTCCCAGGCTCATGTTGCTGCCGCCGATGTTGCTGGCCTGCCGTCTTACATTTCGGCTTTCATTTCGATTTCAGTTTCAGTTTCCGCTTCAGTTTCGCTGCGGAGTTGGTCGCGTGCACACTCGGCGCTCTTCGTGGGGAAAAAGAAGCCTGGAAAAGCATCCGATTTGCCTGTTTTTTTTTTCTGTTCCGTTGTCGCTGGCTTTCTAGCCTCTGAGTTTGCTGCTGGCTTGGCAGCCCAGCTAGTTCAGTTGGTCAGCAAGGCAGTGAGGCAGCAGTGAGTAAGTGAGTCACTGTGTGCGCTAGTTAAGTCCAAGTTCGTCCTCCAAATGGGCGAGCGGGAGGCGAAAGTCTTTGCCCCACCACCCCCCTTCCTGCGGCGGCAGCCAAATTATTTATAAGGGACAACACAACAGCAACTAGTTGGAAAACAACAAAAAAAAAAAAGAAGGAGAGGAAAGGAAAGTAAAGGAAAGAAAGGAAAAGTAAAGGAAAATCGCGGAGGAAAAGCGAAGAGGAAAACGCACGCTGCCACAGGCGACACTTTGCTCTCGTCGGCATACGCAAAACAAATACAAATTTTCGAAATACATTTTACGCGCGCGTGAAGAGGAACGGAATTACGGCGAAAAGCTTTGGGCAATCTCCGCAAGCCCCAAACACACGCCCACGCGCAGCCAGGAAAACGCTACGAACGCCACGAAATGGTGCAAACCAGTGCAGGTAATAAAAAAGTGATCGGCACCTGAAAACCGACCGAAACCCTTACTTGATTTTGTACACATCCTAACAAAAATCTCAATTTAAAAAGTTATAAAATCCTGTCTGTCTGATTTTCACATAATAAAGTGCCCTTAAATATTATGAAATTTTAAAAACAATTGCTATAGTCAAAGAATATGTAAAATAACCTTTCTTAATAATTTTATTATATTTTCCAACTCGCTTTTTTGTGTTTCTTGTACTTCGCTAAACAAAAGTTTAACAAACGGCAAACGGGGCGTATGAGTGATACGCATTAAAACCCCATGACTGCCTTTTGTTTTTGCCTTGTAACACAAAGACGCAGTTTTAATTTATGGCGAATGGTAAACAATGTCTGCGAGGTACAAAAAGTACAGCTGAATTATATTAAATATTAATATTAATAAGTAAATGTACATACTAAAATAATGTTGGGCTGATGATTTGGATACATTATAATATTATTTTATATATATATATATTTATATATATGATACGTGAACACGTGTGGTGGCCAGATTATTCCTGCATTTCTGCACTCGGGCATCGCTATTCATATTTTATAATTTCGCAAGAATTTCGTGACTCCGCCCGCTCGCAGCGGCTAAAGCGATGAAAGCTTCATATGCAAATATATATACCCATAAACCATATACCATATCATATTTCATATATATATGATATTATTCATTCAGGTGTGCAGGACTTGTGCAGGCTTTTGTCAGCTGGGTGGCGGATTGTGGGTGGTGGATGGTGGATGGCGGGTTTATGGCTGCATTTCCCGGTAATCCTAATCCCTGGCAATCAATGCAACTGCTTTAACTTCCCAGTCACACACAGTCAAGGACACAAATATGTATGCTCGGCTCCTCGGCCAGGCAATTTACTCTGGCCCGCCTTTCTTTGCACAATTTATCTATGTGCCGTTGGGATAAGGATAAGCCCCCTCTCTATCCCCCTCATTTTCCGTGGATGGAGTGCAAGTGGAGTGGCGGCCACTCGTATTCCAGCCACTGAAAGTGCTTTTAATTTGATTAAAGCAACAGGTAAACTGGCTTAATTGCTTCTATAATTTAATTTAATATTTTAATTCGATTTATTCACCTGCTCTCTGACCCTGACTTTTAGCCTTTGGCCCAGGCTTCCGTTTTTTATGAAAGCAATTGCTTAAAATAAATCAAAAGTAATTTTTGGATTTTATTTTTATTTCTTTAAAAGTAAATATTTAACTGCTGACTTAAAATAATATTTTCATTTAAAGTAAAAGACATTTTTATTTCAAAGTTAATTTTTTCAGGATCACTGGTATTTTATTCATTGTTTGTAAATATTTCAAAAATATGGAAAAGTTGCAAATATAAAGAATATAGTTATTTACAACCTTAATTACTTAAGCGATTAAATTAAATAATTGACAAAATATTTATTTATTAATCGACATAATAATTAGGGTTTTAAAATTATAAATACAATTTTTTTTTAATATTTAGACAATAACGAATTTACTGACAGTTTCTATACTATTTATGTCGGCTGTTTTAAGCCATGTCTGCTTAGGTCCCCGCTCGATCCCCATCGGTATCTCCTGTGCCAGACAGGACGGACATCCCGTGGTCATTCTACTCCCGGGATTCGCCGGACTGTAGTCCAATGTCCGGCGTTCTGGGACCTTAGGTCAGCGGGGGTTCCGTTCGTCCAACTGGGAAGCTGGCTGATGAGCACGGGCGTAAAACTTTTATGAATGAACCTCGATTGGCATTGGTGGCATCGAAAGGCGGCAATTCCAATGTGCCGTATGCCGTAGTCAAGGCGGGGGCGTTTGTTTATGTTTTAGCTGCTCGGCCTTGCCATTCGCCCAACCCACAGCCGCCCACTTCGCGATATTCCCGATGACGTGGCCATCGCCTGGCAATGTTGATGATGATGATGTGGCCATCATCAATTGCTCAATTATGACATTAGCTAAAAGCCAAGAGCTGTGAGCTGTGAATGGTGAATGGTGAGCGGTGGACTCAAGTCGGCCTCGATGGGATTGACTTGGCTGAGTTCTGGCTCAATGTCGCCCATTGCCGCATATTCTGAGATCAGAGTGGGTCGCAAAAAGAAAAGAAGTCATCTGAAATGGGTTGAGAAGGAAATTACAAAATTTTGAATTTTATTTTAATAAACAAATTGAAATTTGGCGAAGAAAAATAATTTCTTGAAGTCTGATATTAATGTAAATTAAAAAAGTGTCTAAAAGTATGCTATAAAAAATAGGGCAATGTATTTTGGCACTTTTTTCAATTAAAAATATATCATAGCATACTTTTTGACACCCAATAAAGAGATTTAAAACTGCAGAGATTTCGGTGTATACAGAAATATCAAATTTAAGAGCATAAATATGCAAATTTGTGAGTATTAATTGGGTTTTTAAGCTACACGTTCCTCGTTCAACAAGTGCCAATATAGAGTAATAAGTGACATATGGGTTATTAAAAACGGCTGGTCCACCCCAAAGTACATACGACCGTGCACTTAACGCCCCGTTGACAGTAAAAGTAACAGAGGTCAAATGGAAAGCCCTGCTTGTGCGAGTGTGTGAGTGTCTGTGTGTGAGGGGCACGTGTGTGTAAAAGCACTGGTCACAAAGTATTGCATACTTCTCGTCGATTTTCAGAGTATGCTGGCACTAAAGAGTATCTTATTTTTAAATATTAAATGCTATTTAGTGGTTGGGGCTTACAATAGAATTTATAAGTGGTTTTCCTTTGGATTTAGGGAGAGAAAATATATTGTTGCCTACTTTTAGACACCTTTAAAAATTATTTCGAATTTCATTCTTTTTTTTTTATTTTTATGACACATAAAATTATAAATTCTTTGTTAAAAGTAGAGGGTACATTTGGTGCCACAATTTAAAGACCATATGTTCCGGGCACGTCCTTCTGTCTTTCATGACAAAGCCATCAAAGTGTGGGCTTACTGTCAGCGACAGAGTCGTTATCCTGACGTGCGTGTGTCCTGCGTCCTGTCAGAGCCATTAATATTAAAGCCCAGGCTAGGCTCCTTCAAAATTAAAAATCCACTGTCTGGTCATCATTAATTTCATGTCAGCCCGTTTGCTCTGCTCCCCTTTTAGCTCTTTTTACAGCAGACCCTCTCGATACACCAGTTGTGTCCCGAAAGTTGGTCCTTTGCCAAGGACATCAAAGACTCAAGGGGGTGGGGGTGGGAGGGCAATCAAATAGCACAAGTTCTTCAAAGGGGAACATTCCTAAATGTCAATCAAATGCCTGGAAAAGAAATCGCATTGTTTGGCCATTCTTTTTTGGAACTGATAGTTGGATGGACAGATGAATGTCATCAGATAGAAATTCGTTGGAAAAAAATGCCAAAGCTTGTAAGGCAGTCGAAAATCTGAAGAAACTCTTTAAAAAAATATTATAGGAATTTATTTAGTAAATATAAAATAAATATAGATATCACAAAACTGTTGCCTGCTTTTTGGCGCATTTTCTGCGATTTAATCAGAGATTATTCGATTTAGCAGTCGAAAACCTGCAGAAACCCTTTAAAAAACATTAAGGGAATAAATATATTTTTAGTAAATATTTTTATAAAAATAAATAAAGTTTAAAATGAAATAAAATGCTTTTTGACGCATTTCTTGCGATTTAATCCGAGTTTAATCGAGCGCCAAAAGTCGTGGGTCGTGTTTAAGGTCAGTGCATCCATCATGCGTCACCCAATCATATATGTATGTATGTGCCTCACCCACGCCCTCTGACCTTTGCTGGCCCTGCACTTGATGCATTCGAAATGGCAAATGGAAAATAGGAAATGCAACTGTTTCTGTTTCTGTTTCTGTTGCCGTTTCTCCTCGGCCTAATTAGGCATTCCGGTGGGCGGTTGCTTTCCAGCTTGCCAGCTTGTTCGAGCGCAAATTGCTCAGATTCAGATTCAGATTGCTGCTCCTTCCTCCATCGTAAGCTGCTTAAATGCCCCGTGCAATGTTTGCTTTGCATAGACTTGACTGCAAAACGCCCACGGCGAAGGAAGAACTGCAAGTTTTTGCCCGCTTTTCTCCGGCGAACAGAAGGAGAATTAGCGCAAAGTTCAGAGGTCAATCGAGCCGGGGCGCGTAGAAAACTGTTGAGAGCCCAGCGCATATAATTTTAATTGCAAAGACCAACAAATTGCATTTGCCCGAAGCGTGGGTGTAAAAACTGCAGGCTCCATCGCCTCGATCCTCGAGAAGCCCCGCCAACTTAACTGCGAAAAGATTCCGTCTCTGGTATTTCATTTACGGGAAAACTGCACAGATTCCCCAGCTTATCCCTGTTTTTTTGCAATTTTCACAGCATTGAAAATCACTTTTGTAGGTGGGAAACGGCACGTTTAACTCTTAAAGGGATTATCTTTAATGTATATTTACATTTTTCCCAGAACTGAAAAGATGTTGGCAATTTCTTTTTCAGTTGGTGTGCATAGTATTTTCACAGTGCGTGGAATTGAATTTGATGAATTTTATTGGATTTTTGGTAGAAGCTAGAATTTTTTCTTTTCGTTTTTTTGCTGTAACTTTGCCAAAAATGGTCCTACACGCAAAATAAATACTGTTTTGAACAGATAACTAAATAATAAATAAATCCATGACACTTTCCGGGTGATCTTGAAAAAATAAAATTTTCGACTATTTTCAATTTTTTTATAAGGGGGTACATCATGATTTTTTACGAAAAATGGCAAAAAAATAAAATGTCCAGGTTTAAATGACAATCGATTGGAAATTTAACAACGAGTTCAGAAAGGTATGACAATCCATATTTGGATCAATACTTCCATTGTTACGGTAAAAAAACGAATTATTTTTTTGTGAAAAATTAAAATCTGGATTTTTGGTACAAAAATGGAATTTTTCTTTTCGTTTTTTGGCTGTAACTTGGCCAAAAATGGTCCTACACGAAAAATAAATACTGTTTTGAACAGATAAC